GACCACCATCCCTTGGGCAGGCAACAAATCGTGATATTACCCTCACAAGCATGTGTTATTATTTATCTGCCATGTAGTCCCAAACATGAAATATCCCAATTTCAATTTGCAAATCAAAAAAGGTCAGGAGAAACAACAGTACAAAAATATTTTTTAAAAAGTCAATTAATCAATCATATGTCTACACGGACAGACTCATGAGTTTATATCTGTGGTTCAGAAGGAAACTATATTTATTTTTTGGACTACTTGTATAGGATCTTTCAAGACAAACAAAAAATAAAAATACATGGGTATGTATTACATCAAAATACATTACACCATTGAGAAAAAAACCCCAACAGTACTAACAATTTGGATGGGCCTATTAGTTACTAAAAAATAATGGATGAATTTAAACTGTCTTTAACTGCTTGCGAAAAGTAATTTTACCATCACCATCTGAGAATTTAACAACATTCTTATAGCTAGCCATACATCTGAACAATGGTGAAAATGTTATCATATTTATACGAGGTCAACCAATTTGAAAGAAATCGATTAAGTGTAACCACCACATTGGAGCTCTAAAGAAACCAAGTATAAGCTACAGCAATTACCGAACCCATTAACAGTATTTAAAAAGAATAACTAAATTTTGAAACACATAAGCTTAATAAATTTGTTCTGTACAAGTTTATTATTGTGTGTATTTTGTCATGGAGACCATATTGTACAGCAATATTCAAGTTGACTTTCTGACAAGACTCAAAATAAATGTAGGTTAATAATAGAATTGAAAGATTTACAGTTACATTTGATAAAATGCAACGTTTTGTATGCTTTGTTTACAACAGTCATGATACATTTTGAGAAATTCTCAGCATAGTTTGTTTTCTGTTGCAGGTACCTCACAAAATTAGACCTTCTATTGTGGCCTAGTTGGACCACATCTTTTCCTAGTATCCAGTGCAGTAGTGTGTTGTCACAGCTCATCTTTACCAGTTACACTGGACATTTCATATCACATTCAACTCAGACAATACATTACATGGCTGAAACACCATGGCATCACAAACTGAGGCTCTCTAAGATGAGACTTGCCTCGCCAAACAGACTGGGCTCTCCTACAAGGAAGGCACTGCCGACCAGTCCTACTATGAAAAGTCCACTCTCCCCTACAAAGGTAAGTTAAATGACAGTGTTGGGTCTAGGCAGGTTCGAGTGAGAGTGAGAATGAACCCGAATTGATTACCAGGGCAATAGTACATGTAGTATGTACCATGGTTGATACTAGGCAATGCTATAGATTGGAAAAAAACAAAAACATGGTGAACATAGTGTATTTTGGGTGTCTCGTAAAGCTTTATGGGAACCATTGCTTGTACGGACAGTGCCGCTAGCTGGTGGATGGTGGAAGTTAGGTATTTGTATTTTCATTGTATTCTGTGTAAGAAAATTATAAAGTCAGGCAAATGCTTTATGTTCTGACAGTTGTGTACAAATGTATATAGGTTAATGATTCACAAACAGAAGGAGGATGCATCCTAGTTGATTTCTCTGTTCTTGCTATTCTTGAGAACACAGACTATTCCATACATTTAAAGAGTTTTTAATATGAAATTTTTTTTTCCTATTTTCCACAGAGGAGTTATCTGAGCAACAGTCTCAGCAGTTTGGGTTTAACTGCTTCTGGTCACTTTCCTCCGCTGAGGTCGCCTGATAGACGGCCTTCAATTGTCCGAGTCTGTCAGCCGACTGATGTACCAGCATTTTTAATCTCCGTCTTGCCAAAGGTTTGTACACCAGGAAATGATGTACCGTGTATAATTCTGTGCTGTTCGGTATAGTGTTTTATTCTTTGCTTGATCTTTGTATTGTATTGTATTGAATATTACAATTTGTTAAAAATATGTACACTGTGTCTGTCAAAAAGTCATACTGGTAAAAAAATAATTATTTAATTGGTTTTATTTCTCCCTAATTTCGCTAATAGCAAAATGCACTCACCCAATGAATATGCAAAACCGACTGTAAAATGTTGCTTGTTTTGCTAACCTGTGAATTAATGATTATCTTTTTATGCACCAAAATAAAATTATATAAATTTTGATCAAAAATTAAAATAGAAATTATAAAAAAAAAATTGTCATTTGTAGGTGAGTGTCACTAATCCTGACTATTACTGCAGTGATCGTGGGGCAGCCTTTCAACACGACACTGAGAAGTTTGGCGGATCGCTGGAAGCCAGGAATACACTGTTGTTTGGTTCCCAGGAGTTGTATTCGCTGTATTTGCTGTCACCGTTTCACTACTTTCCAACTCGTCCTGGTGGTTTGTTAGCTATTAAACCTGTACATGGATGGTCCAATATACAGATACCAAGTAAGTACATAAATGGTATTCAATTAATTATTGGTATTGCATTCTTTTCACTTCACTGTTTATCGTATGTACTATGTTCTCGATGTCCTAGCGTTATTGCTCTGTAGTTATATCAATGTGATGTATAATGTAGCTCTGCACAACCCCCTGGCCTAATCATTGAAGGCCCATTCCATTACTTCACAGTGGTTAACTCACAACCCCTGGCCTAAACACGCAGTCATTGAAGGCACATACCATTACTCCACAGCAGTTAACACACTACCCCTGACTTAAACATGCAGTCATTGAAGGCCCATGCCATTACTCCAAGGCGGTTAACACACAACCCCTGGCCTAAACACGCAGTCATTGAAGGCCTATGCCATTACTCCACAGCAATTGAACACACAACCCCTGACCTAAACATGCAGTCATTGAAGGCCCATGCCATTACTCCACAGCAGTTAACTCACAACCCCTGACTTAAACATGCAGTCATTGAAGGCCTATGCCATTACTCCACAGCAATTAAAACACAACCCCTTGCCTAAACATGCAGTCATTGAAGGCCTATGCCATTACTCCACAGCAGTTAACTCACTACCCCTGACCTAAACACGTAGTCATTGAAGGCCCATGCCATTAGTACACAATGC